CACATGCGCGATAACTGAAGTAAGACCACAGAAATTAGTAAAGCGCAGTGTCAGTCTAAATCTATTTAATTAATAATAATATATGACATAATAAATGTTTTACTTATATACAATATCCTTAATTAAGTCTTATATTAATCATTAATATATTTTATATTTATATATAAATGTATATATTTTTCCCTGTTTATAGTTTATGCTCCAGCATCTTGCCTGCATCTACTCTTTATTATGTCTATGTTACTAACATCCACAGCCTTTATTTTCTTTGGGATTAACCATGAGATCTTGAACATCTATAGCTGCATTACTGCCATCTTCTGGACCTCTTTTATTGAGGAAGGTTCTAGCCACTCAAAACAGAAAGAAAAAATAAGAAAGCACAAAGTGAAATTGGATATTGACAGGTCCAAATTCAATGTTTTTAAGGAGGAGTGTAAGTATAAAACATTTATAATAATTGTTCTGCCAAGTGTGGAGTGGCATTAAGGCATGAGGCTATTTTCTAATGATCAATCTTCAGAAAAAAACCAACAAAAAACCTCCTGGTGGTCAGATGAGACCTGACACATCCAATGTGTCTGACAACTGACAACTGCTGTTTATAAAATGAACAAAACAGTTGTTGTGAGCTGATCATACTCTAAGCCAGGGGCATAAACTCCCAGCACGGGGGCCACTTCCAACCAGCAAACCCCATACAATCATCCCGCAACACAATCTAAATAATCATTTTGAATTTGTTCATAATAATTTTTAGTTATTCCATGTGTCATTTTACCTGTACCTGCTGTTATAAACTACTTTCAGTTCAGAAGTACATAAGAGGTTACAGTAGTGCTTTGAAGAACACTTACAACGATGATATTAGACCTATCATGTTATGTTAATGTCTGACTGTGGGAGCGTTCATGTGACAAAGTCCCCAAACTATACACTACAATGAGGTGTATGTGCAACTTTTCTATTTTCAGAGAAACAAATGCAGGTCTTTGCCTACGGCTCCAAGGTTCATTAGTCTCTGCTAAGTAGTACAAACAAGACTGTGCTAGTTTTCCTCTGTAAATCCACATGTGATGTGATCCTGCAGAATCCAACCAGTGTTTCTTTAACATCTCCACTATGTCACATTCTCAACCAGACCCAGCGCTGACTGTAGGTGAAGCAGTCGTGGAGGTCGTGCAGTTCACTCTGCCTTCACCACACCGGAGTTCACCACAGGTTCAACCATGGACAACACAGTGGTGTGAAGCCCAGTCTGCCTGCCACACTCTGGATTGTTAAACCCAAACGCCCCCCAACCACCCACCCTCCACCCCAACCCCATGGGGGAGGAAATGCTTTCTTCTGGCTCCTAAAAAGAAAAAAAAATGTGTTTGTGTGTTAAACAATATCAGTTGATGGTTTAAACCAGCGTGAGATAATGATCAGCGAGTCTCTTTGGAGTGAAGACTGTGAAAGCATTCTTTTTAAGAAAAAAGGGACAAACATTCTCTCTGTAATAACAGGGAGAGGTCACTCACAATTTCCTAGGGTTCAGAGGGCGTTCACATTTCTGTAAGTTTAGCAGAAAAGAAATGTTAGCACACAAAGCTGCAGCACTAAAGAAAACACTGACAGGCTGTGTTTCAAGGACACAGGTTTGTTTTCCCCAGGATAGAACATGAAAGTGTGGGTGTAATTCTCTATTAGTGTCCAGACTTCACTGAACCCTCAATAAGTCTTTTATTTTTTTTAAATCTAAGTCGCAGCGCAGCTCTCATCCTGTCTGGCCTAACAGGCATGTTAATTCCTGAATTTCAGACCAGGAAAATCTGTGTTTGTGTTCAAAACAAGTTACATTTTACAGCAGCAGCCACTCCAAGGTCGGACATGAAGTTACATGTTCTGGGGACGGCTAGTTTCAGTACGGATCTACCATCTGTGTCTACGAAAGAAAATTATTTATCTATTTATTTATACGGAAAATAAAACAAAAATAGAATATAAATCTCAGTTCTGCAAATCAAAATTAAACACAACAAACACTAAACACTAACATTAAAAAACATGCAGACATTTACAGTGAGTTTTGGTCTGTCTGGGTGCTCCTTGCACCATTTAATGCCTTGTGTTTAAAATGACAGACAGATGGGACACAGAGGTGACAGGACAGGCAGTCCGCTTGTTACCTGTTCACTGCACCCTGTTCTGTGTCAGTGCTGACAGAAAACTATTCACTAAGTGACAGCTGTTTAGTTTTAAATAATGGGTTCCATGACCAGGTCTGCTATTTCGGACATTTTTAATTCAGGCACTGGAAATGTATCCTTGTTGCCATAGTTATTGGATAAGGAGAAAGAATATAGGCAGTAACAAATTGACTTTCAGCCTTTTCGCTTTTTGACTTTCTTCCATGGGCTGTACATTTCCCACAATGCACAGTGACTTTCCGAGAATTTGCCATCCAATGTGTGCTCAACTTCAGGCTGTCTCTGACACTGATTCAGTGCTGCCTAACAGATCCTAATGACATGACCGTAATTGTCCTCAATGATTTGGAAAAAAAGAGAATTGCTCAGCAAAAGTGGTAATCTGTTAGTATTGTTCTTGTAAAGTAACTACATGGCCCTCATTCAACCTCCTGCATATATTCCCACCATTTATTATATTTCTCAGTCTCGGTTCTGCGATGGATTCTTTGTATGTACAGAAGGTTTTAGTTGTTTTTTTGTCTAATACCAACATGTTAGTAACTGCAAATTATTTTTAGATATCAAGTTTTGTTTTTGTTTTCCTTTTAACAGTAAGAGTCAACTTTTCTTTCTTTTTCTGAATATAACAGAAAAAAGACGATGTGATCACAGATGACCACTCAACAATGAGTCAGTTATTATATTTTAGAGTCTTAGTAACAGCACACCCAGAAAGCACCATGTCACATATTTAAATCTGAACGTTACAGATTAGCTGCACTGTTATTCATTCCACCAGCTTCACCCTTTGCCATGATGTGACCTAGGACTGCACGTTTGAAACATGATGTCAGTGGTAAATCTCTCAAGTCAAATCATCACAGTCTGTGCAACAGCAGCAGCAAGAACAAAAAGTACTAAGAAGGGTAAAAGAACGCACAAGACAGGCAGAACTCTAACTCTTCTAGAATTTTAATAGACATGTTAAACTGAAGGCCACACAGTGTTTTGGTTGCATTGTGCATAAATGTCTGTGAAAAACCTTCTGATCCAGGGAACATTTCTGAATATTATGTCCCAGTTTTTTCCTTTTTTTCTTCTTCATTACACTGTGATTGGACCCTGGTTTAGTTTAGACGTGTGGTAGAGTATGTCAACACACACTGCTTCATAAAGACAGTAGTTCACTCTCATTGAGTACAGTAAATAGTAAAGACTGTATGTCTCTTTAATTACAGGAGGTTTAATTCCTTCTACAGAATATATATTTTTAGTGCCTAATAATAGTTTGTATTCAACACTGGCCAGAAAAAGTAGTTTTGTATAACAGTGGCTAAAACATACATTTATCTGGAAGCTATATCTAATACATGTAAGTTATTTAAATCAGTGGTTCTCAAACTGTGGTACACATACCACTGGTGGGACGCAAGTGCTCTCTAGTGGTACTCTGGGAAAATTCATATTTTACATTTACATTTTCAATTGAATAATTCTGAAACAAACCATGCACAATTAATACAACATTTAAACAAACATCTTTATAAGCATCTCTCCTGTTTGGTGGGAAGCTAATAGGGAAGGCCAATACTGCTATAGTGAGAACCACTGATTTAAAGCATAAATAGCTTAATTGCCCCTGTCCTTACTTACTGTAACTTTCGACAACCTTTAACAAACCTTAATTTACATACTGTATTTTGTTCCTTGGATGTCAGACCATAATAGCACGTCACTATTTATAAAATAATAGACCAAATTTTTTTTTTTATATATATATTTTTCTATTTGACTCTTTAATACTCGATGAAGTCCTGGGATGAATCACCTCTGTCCTATATTGACAGACGTGTCCTAATCCGCATGTTTAATTTAAAGGTTAGTTCTCATGGTGCTGCGGGTTCACGCTGCTTTCGCTAGTAAATGGCAGATTACGCACATTTGTGCGAGTTTGTGTAATCCGATTCCGCTCCAGTTGATTCTGTGCAAATCTCATGTCGTCATCACACAGGGTGAAGCCTACAGTAGGAAAGGAGCGCTTCTGCTCAACTCAGACATTAGCAAACGCACACAGAGGCATCCAACCACTGATGCACTTTGCACCTCGTCGACCGATCTCAGAAGATGTTCCTATCAAAGTTATAGCAGGAAGATTTATTTGCTTCGAAGCATAAGTCTTTTTTTCGACATGTGTGTTCAATTAATAATCACATTTGTATAACGAATTTAAAAATTCTTGAATTCTTGAAATATCATAGCTGTGGGGAAATTGAAGCGCAAAATACAAACGTATTACAGCAGTTAAATAATAATAAATAAAATCTCACTGGGACAAAAAAAAGTTAAAACAAAAAACAAAAAAACAAAAAAACCCACAATAATAAAACCTTTAAAACACAGGGTTTTCTATCCCCGCCCAAGTCAGAATATCATCACAGTTTCTTACAAATTATTATCCCAAGATTTTGTGTTTCTAACCACATTTATATATCCTGAAAATCAGTTATTAATTTTAATTTGTTTTTAAAAGGTTATTTTTGACTATAATGTTTGAAATAACGTTTTAAACGAAGACTTTTTACATGCTGATCATCCGATGAAGACAGCAATGATTAGGATTTTTTTTAAACTCTCCGGTATTTGTTTTTTTCCTAATTGTATTTTTCTATAAATATAATGGTGACAAAAGAATATATTATTGTTGTTGTACGTTTTTTTTTTTAATCTCCGGGTTAGCTCCGCCTGTTTATTTTGCTCTAGCTCTCAGTGTGCCACTTCCTCGCTGCCTCCGCTGCCTCCTCCTCCTCCATCGACTCCATCGTCGCTCGACTGGCTCACTTTGACACCAAACTCGCTGCGCTTCAGCTCTGACCACTGCAACTTTTGCAGACTCCTCACAGTCCACAGACATGTCGCACAATAGCTGAAGTAAACCTGTCATCGTGGTGGCTCATCCTCGGAGCCTCAGGGAAGTTGGCCGCCGCTCTGTGATTTCTCTCCGCACTCAGCGTTTCCTCTGTGGCTTCTTTCCTGGCGTCGGACCTTACAGCTTTGTAAGCGGCTGGTCAGGAATTATGAGCGATTTAGTCACTGATGAACTGGGCCAGTAATGCAGGAGAACACGGCGACTCTCTCATCCCAAGATGGCAGATTTTTATTGAGTTTTGAACAGAATCGTCGCTTTATTTTTTGCCATGTATAACAGAAACCCTTGCACCGATGGCCCCTGTATACGAAGGTAAGGAAACATGTTCGTGTTTTTTACAGTCTCTAGTGTATTAACTGTGATACCATTCATCTGCGGCTCGGGGGAGCAGATGCATCAAAGCCTCTTTTATGTTATGTCTCAGTCCTGGTACACATGAACTTGATGGTGATAGTACAGACTACACACATATGCAGATGGTCTTGTTCTTAGCAGTTCTGCTCTTCGAATCCGTTCAGGACACAGATTGAGGTGCCAGTCACAGCCGCGTCCGATGAACTGATGAGGCTGCGTGCATGCAAACCCTCACAGATGAGGTGAAAGCCAGGCGTGTGTGCAAAACACGGCGATCTGCATGTGTTTATTTAAAGAGCAGAAATACACAAACACACCTGTGATTGTCCATCACTGGTGTTTGTTTCTGCCTGTGGAGGACGGAGAGAGCAGGTAAACGAAGAGAGGTCGGAGACGGATCGAGTCGAGTGTCGCGGCTCTGTTCACACTTCATCATTCCTTTCATGATTTCACACCAGTACTGTAAAAATAGCTGGACTTTAACCTGTTCACTGACCTCTGAGTGTTGTATGTTTATTTCCTTCTTTTTTTTCTATAGAACGACATGTTTATAATGTCTCTCATTAATCGCTGCAGCAGTGTTGTGGATGTGACTAATCCAACAGAGATGGGGCTGCAAGTACTGTATACATACATACATACATACATACACACACACACACACACACACATATATATACATGTTTTTTCATTCTGTGACACACACACACACACATGTTCTCTCCTTCACACACATACTCGTGGCTCTCCAAATAACAAAACAATGAAGCAGATCATTATGATCAGTGCATGAGCGACGTATCTGCATGTATGATTGATTGTACCCGAACACAGGCTCCTGCTAACCTGCTAGACGACACACACACACGCCGCTGCATGCATATGTTGTATTTGAGTTTCATTCATTTTATTCCACGCTGGGCTCGTATCATTCACAAGTAGCCCGTACTGTACCCTGTGGTGGTGAACCCCCTTCGGCTCACATCAGGCTCACATAACCGCCGGTTTTTACAGCAAATATGATGATAATGCAGTCTGCGATCTTCACTTAACGTAACAAAACGCTGACCCATTGATGTTGTTAAATATTTATTTTTGAGCAGCCTCATTTAATACCCTTCACTCCGCTCTCGAGTCCCTCTGCCGGCATTAAAGAGAATGCATTTTTATCATCACTGAGGAAACCGATACTGTAAGGTTATATTTTAAAAGTGACAGCGTGGAAGCATCGGCGATTAAATAAACGCGCACGAATGGGGTTGTTAAGGTAGTATATACGCCATACAGTGGGATGTGCAGTATTCTGTATTTTTAAATACTGCATATCCGGAAGAAACAGCTTAGTGATTTTCCATTAAGGTTGATGAGGCTTAAGGCGCACTTTTAAGACTCCTTTGTTACAACATGAAAGAGCAAGTTGAAATGAGACTCCTGTGCAAAATGTAATTAGTTTAAAAAAAATCATTGTTTTTTATTTCTGTCACTTCACTATGAAGGAGGTGAAAAGAGAGAAAGAAAAGAGAAAAGAGGAAAGTCAACACATCCCCTTAATTACCAAACCTGTCCTCCTCGGTGCAACTGAAAACAGCTTTGTAAGGCAATCTTGAAAAATGACCAGGCTTACATAGTTATTGCTGACATTAAGACTGAATGCTGGCTAAAAACCTTTATATGGCATCTATTTAAAAAATATATATATTCCTGTATGATTAGGTTACAGTACTGTCCCATGTATCCAACTGTGCTCACCAAGTCAGACTGTCTTATTTTCCTTCTGTTCCCCCTTCCCCCCTCCCCCCCCCTTCTTCATATTTGCCTTTGGTCCTTCTTGGCCCAGACACTGGGCCATCAGGAAAGTCCGCTAGCAAGTAGATCAGCAGTCTGCTCACTCTGGAAGCCTGGTCTCATAACACAGGCTGACACCTTGATGGATTTCTGATGAACGGAGTGGGTCCAGCAGCACCCAGCTGCATGTGGATAAACTAATATTCAGAGACTGTCAGGCCCTTTCTGCCTGCCTGCCTGCCCTCTTGCCCCACTAGATATGTTGTTATGGTGTGCTCATGCATGCATGTGCATGTGTCTTTGTGAGTGTATGAGCCAGTGCACACATGCCCCATCACCCATCTGTGGGGCCGGCCCTGGAGAGGACTAGACAGCTGCAGAAATGGGCAAACAGGCAACTTCATTTGCAGATGCCCCTCACAGGTCGACCGGTGCTGTTCCAGAGAGGATTCATTCATTCCCACCTGGAAAAATAGACAGTGTGGTCAGACGCTGATGATGTTAATGATGATGGGGGTGGTAACAGGTGTGATAGCATCGCAGGAGGATTAATGCTTTATCTTTCCGCACTGTGATTATGTGTTAATGTGACTTTGAATTACCATGTGATTTAACTACTTCCAGAGGTGCAAGGCAAAGCACCCTGTCCTTGTTGACTAATCTGAAGGCTAAGGGAGAACAAGTGAGAGAGAGAGAGAGACTTTTATAAAAATTGCCCTCAAATCCCCGTGTCTCCTGCCTTCCTCCTCTCAAGCTTGTTTGGAGCTGCTTGATTGATATCTTCCTTACAGGCCACGACCCAGGCTTAGAGTCCAAGGTTGCATCTTTGATTAGAATTGCAGGAAGAACCCCAGGGCCTTTGGGGCCCACACCCTTTTTTAGAGTGCAGGGACCAAGGAAGGTCTCTCTTCCTGAAGGCAAAAACAAGCAGGGTACAAAATTGTTTGGCTCGTCATTGTCTGAAATTGTGAATGTAAAAGGTCTGCAGATACAAGATAGGAAAAAAAAAGTTGGTAAGAGAGGAGCATATTGTTAAATATAACGCTGAAACAAGTAGTCATTGCCTCATGGACCCTTTTTTTAAATCTCACTTCATGTCAATTTTTATTTGTTCATTGACTTTTTGCACCTTATGACTCATCAAAAAGACAGTTTCCCTAAAAAAAAATTAAAAAAAAAAAACGTAATGAAAATAGATAAGCTGTCTTTACAGGTATTGCTTTTGCATTATTCAGAGCTTCCTTACTGGAAAGAAAGTGAAATCCAGTGTGAGAGAATTCTTGGTGCTATTGATTTGTTAAAGCATTTAGCAGAAAAAGCCGAGGCTTTAGAGAGAGATAGAATGTGAGTTTTATGTAAGATGGGTTGTGTGTGTACAGGAAGACAGGAATATGTGAGCTCTCTGATGTGCCGAAATAGTTCACAGGTGTGATCTGAGGGGGTTGGAAACAGATGGGGTGGAGAGCGAGGGGGGCATCAACCTGAACTGAAATGACAGGTTAGCAGAGGCCTGTCTGACACAGGAGGCCCAGCTCTGAATACGAGCAGAAAACTTCTGACTGTTTTCACAGGCCAAACTTTTCAGATATACTGTTTTTTTAATAGAAATTCTTTAGACTTGCCTTTATAGCTTTAGTGCGGCAGCACATCACTCCTCAGGGCTCTACTTTCATTATGGTAAATCGATTTAGATGTGAGGGGACTTTGCAGGTCAGATTTACTCCTGTTTTAGTGTTTCTGCCATATGTTAAAGACCTCAATTGGACACTGCTCTGAAACCCCAGCCTTGAGGTCCTTGAAGAGGGAGACCACATCAGTTGCTGACACTAGTTGGTTTTAATTGAACAGGAAAAGGGAGGGTGGCTGGGAAAGAGCCTCAGCCCTGTCAACTGCTTACACAAGGCATTTCCACATTGGTTGTCATGCATGTGTGAAGGACCTTTTCTTCACCCTGTACTGTTGTTTTACACTGGTATGGTTTCAGCTTGTTTGGAACGTCTGGATCTGACTCTGTCACCTTTGCGTGACACGAGCAGACAGAGTGATATATTAGGTATGCGTTGGTAAAAGAAAGTCCAACTTACATGAACAAATGAATTCCAAACACTAGTAGATTTGTCTCTCCATCTTGGCAAACTGTGAGGTTTTAGCTCCTAAGAATCCTAATGTTAATAATGTGGGGCACATAGTCAACATGCTTTTGTCATGATATTCCTGCCTTATCGTTTTATACAATGACAACCATTGTGGCTTTCTTGCACTGTTACATTTTCTAACAGCAACAGAGGTGCAAAGATGTTTCTCGCAATCAGAGCTCTGACACAACCGTGGGGAATTACACAGTGGTACAATTCCTGCGTCGGGCAGGCAGTTTGAAAGAGGTAACTGTGAATTCACACTACATGAATTACCTGAGACTTCTTGGTCAATCCATATGATTACAGAAACACATGTTTAAATTAATGGGAAACCTTTCCTGGTCAATCACTAAAGCAATTGTGGCGAAAACATTTTTTTAAACCTTTAATTACTATTTTTCCTCGATGCCCTTCTCCTTGCCTATGAGTCACTGCAGATGTGAATGACATTTCCTCCAGGTCTCCATTTGATGAATCTTTGCATATTGAACATGTTGAAAGTGCTGTTTAATAGGCTTTGAAATTATCTTCAGGATTTTTTTTAGTATTTATTTGAAATCAAATCAGACATGTGAACTTCATTAAAAGTTTTAATCAGTAGCATTTTAATTACTTAAACCGTTACACCTGCTGTTTTTCACACACATAAAATGCATTTTTACGTCAGGTAAAGTGCTGGGGGATTTCAGTGCTCTGTGACACTGAATCCAGCATAATTGCAACAACATTTTTATTTTATTTTTCATTCCAGTTAATCACAGTGTGGCTGTTTAGGACTTTTAGTCAACGTAGGCTGGTTAAGCAATTACTGCACATTCTGAAAGCATTAGGACACTTTATGAAGAGGGCGTCGGATCATGGCATTTTTTGTAAATATTCAATGTTATTGCACAGTGCTGCATGAGGCATGAAGCTCATTTTGCTGCAATTGCCGTGAATTGCATGCTCACTTTTTTAATCTCACCATCCGCCGTTGACCCCCACCAATTCACACCCACCCACCCTCGTAGGCTTCCCTTCCCCACCCCCACAGCT